ATAGTCTAGATTAGACCCCAAAACCCCAAAACCCCATCATAATACAAATTTGAGTCTTAAAAAGAGTGATAATTTTGTTAAATTAAGCATAATTACATAGATTTGGCAAAGGCAACTTTTAATAAACCATTGATTATTCTCAATTAATGATGATTTGTTTCAGATTCCACTTTTATCTGGCTTGCTGCTGTTTTTAATCTCATTCGCTAATTCATCTTAGATTTTTAAAGCGTCTAACTTGCCATCAAACTCATCTTTTCTGCTTAGATTTGATATACTCCTAGTTGATTGTAGCAAAACATTATCATCTTTTCTTAATATGTCTTCTCTCTTCTATCTTTCTAGAAACCTTTCGACCTCTTTCTTCTTTTTGAGCTCTTCATAGACTTCTCTCTCCATCAATTCCAAATCATCTGATTTCAATCTATAAGCGATTAGAGAGAAGCAGCCAACAAACCAACCACCTATCATTATCAAAGCAAACCACACTTTGAACCTCTACTTTCTAGGAAGCATTCTTGGACCCTTATCGATTTAATAAAGCTGACGCTCAATCGCTCCCGGGGATGTCTCTGGATGAGATGAATGATATACTTTCTCTCCCTTGAGATTTATTCTGGGAATGTCTTGAACCCTCTTTGAATCTTATTATGCTTTCTATTATTAGTTTTTACCAAATAACTTCTAAAGCATGCTAACTCTGCCCTACTAGTTCTCTAATTGCTGATCAGCATGAGCCTTAGCCAGCTCAGGACTGATTGGTGGGGCATCCTATTTAGTATAAACAGGATTTGATATTGTTGGGGGTATGCTAGTTTATGGTTTGCCTTTAAGATATTGAGGAATAGCTTTATTTCCCATATATGCTGATGGCTTCTGCTGCTAAGAACTCTAACTTGTATTACTTGTGTCTTTCCCCTCGTCTTAATTACTCATTTTAGATTAATTATTTTAAGGCTAATTAATTATTCTAAAATTCAATTTTCTTACTTTAAGTGGGGTTTTGGGGTTTTGGGGAGATCGGAAGAGCACAC